GATAACTTTAACAATTTACACTGAAAGTACATTGAAGGATTCTCTGCATAAATTCATCTGCAATGTAGTTCAAGTTGTTTATTCTAAATATCTTGTAGGCTCATTTTATTAGCATTATATACTGAATTTAGCAGCTATCCCTTTATTAAACTTTAATTACCTTAACACATAGACCAAAAGCAAATTGCACTAGGACTTTGGTTAACATTACAAATTATTGTAACTGACGATCTGAATGGTTATGATTTCACTCCATAACATCTTAAATTTTTGAAAATCAAATGTTAAACAATGTGCTGTTTTTTCCCATTATTGAACATTAATTTCATGTACACAAATGACCACATAATTACTTAATTGATTCCCATTTACAATCTTTATCTTGAAAGAAAGAGATAATAAATAAATACTCGGTACATTCATAAAAATAAACTCAGGACATTTTGGACTTTGACGAAGCAGACCTACCATGAAGCAATTTGAATGCATGCAAAAACAGCATGTTGTCCAGTGGAAATGGAATTCGTTCTTAAGTTTTGGACATGGTGCCACGTTTGGAGGTTATAAAGCAGCACATCAAAGATACTGGAGGTAACACAGTGAATTTCCGGAGGTTTTCAGCTACAAATTCAATGCAATAGTCTTATCTGGATTACTGAATTTTTAGTATCTTGCATTTTACAAATATGCCAGTACGTTTTATCATTTTTTTCATCGTCGAAAAGTACTGCATGCAACTATATTGCAAAAAGAGTAGCCAAGAGTTTTATTTGATTTAATTACCGTATAGTCTTAGAGTATCAAATTATCACAATTTTCTGTTAAAATTCTTCTAATTCAGTTGGTTTTTCAAATTACTAGTGGTTTTGGAAGCACATATACATGCCTCTTATACACTTTGATTTTAAAATTTAATCGCATCAAAAATTATATATCACATCGTTACCGGAGGGGGAGGGGATAATATATGTAAATATGCATTTTAGATAATGGGTACAGGATTTAAAGACCATCATCACTTGCACTTACATGACATTCGATTGCCAATGACTTTTTCCCCCAAGCTACCGTAAATGGATAGATAAACAATACTGATTATTGATGATTCGTTTACGATTTTGTACAGATGAATTCATTTAGAAATGCATCTATGATTCCCGTCTTTCCTCGTTACATGCAATGTGCTTAAAGTCTCCTAGCCGTTTAAGGACCAGTAGAACTTTCCTCTGTCAATTATCATATTTATGGTCCAGCGAAGCTTTTTGTCTAACCACTTTTCCACAGCTGATACCCTATACATGCCAGTCTTTGACAGACAATACTTGTCAGTCAGGAAGACAAATAATGCTTCCCAGGAAGGAATTCAGATCAGTTAATTTAAATATAGAAAGTTTCTCTCCCGTCGATTCATTGTGTGTTCTGGAAATTGTGTTCTCGGCTGTTCTTGCATGTCGTGTCTTCTCATGTACAACAAAGTTGTTTTGTTATGTTGCCTATACATTAGCAAAATAAAGTCAATGCACACCTAGTTGAAAGGAAAACTATGCATATCTAGATCTGCAAGTGTACAGGCACTGAAGACGTTAATGTATGTATTCGTATTTATACATTGATTTAGTTCATCCACAAATACATTCATATTCTAAGTAGGATTTTTTTTCTTTTTTTTCTTTTTCTTTTAACATTTTTGAATACTTAGTATCAATAAAATCGTTGCCCATGTTAAGACAGGTAGGGTAGCATCTGATCAGACAAAAACTATGCAACACTCTAAAATAAATCAAACTTTTGCCAAAACTAGGTCCTGGATTCTAATTCTGTGTCAACTTTCTATGACAAAAGTATGCGGAAATAAATGAATTAGCAAAATATTGTAACGTTGTAAATTTTGAATTTACCGGATGGCAGTAAATACAAAATTGGTTCTAATTTAGTATAATTCAAATTTACAACATGACAAAGTGAACAGAGTCCGCACACTATGCCAAGAGGTGACGATAGGAAAAGACGTGGCTTTTCACTACAAGCTATTGCAAAAGATGTGGAGCACATACATGTAGCTCAGTGGTTTGTCAGTAACCCAAAGATCGCTGGTTCAAGCCCCACTATGGACACTTGATGTTGTGTATTGTTTCCTAAGACAAGACACTTTTATCTGCATTGTCTCAGTCAACCCAGCTGCAGTGGATATCTGGCTTACGCTGGGGTTAATCTGCTATGGACTGCTGTCCTATCCAGGGGAAGTCAATGACTCTTATCCGCTTAGCTTGGCTCAGGGAAGGATTTAACTGGAATGGTACAAGGTTCATGGACCACAACGTTCATCTGAGCCACCATTCTCTTTCCGACAAATGAACATGCATATGTAGATAACTGAAACTCCTATTCGTGGTCACTATATTAAAAACCATGTTTTCAAAATTGTCAGTTTACAGTATATTGAATTGAAACTTAAAGTGAACTTGATAAATTATGGCATCGGGATGGTTGCATATCAATTTGACTTTCTTGAAGAGATTTTTAAAATATTTTAAAAATATTTTCATATATTTTGAAAATATTTTTCCTTTATATTTTAAGGTAAAACTTTGACCTTTAATTGTCTCAACCTTGTCACGAGGACCATGATTTGAATGCTTCATTATTATATATTATAAATATGGCTATGCTGTGGCTCTGCTGGCCCCGGGATCACGAAACAGACTTAGACTTAAGTCAAAATTTCAATCATCTGTAAAAATATTTATTACTTGGGTACTGAAACCCTTAATTCACAGACAAAAGCAGTTTGGTGATGCAAGGTTGAATAGCAGTTTTATTTTGGATTGTTTTTCTTCTACAGAAATATAGATATCAAGCTCAAAATCCATTCAAACATTATAAATCAGGAGCAGAGCAAACACAGACCTCTAAAACATCAGAGGTGGGATCCGATGCCATAGAGGAGTGAGCATCCCTTGCTGACCGGTTATACCCGCTGTCTGGTCCTTGTCATTATTTCATTATACTATAAAGATTTTGACTTAAGCTTTAGATGTTTTATGATTCTGGTGCCTGCTCTTGAGAAAAATACTTTAAAGATTTTTTTTCTAAATATTCCTATGTAAGACTTTGAAGATATGAACAAATTTATAGACGATAAACTAGCAGACAGATGCCGGAAAATACTTTCCTCGATCAAAATTTTTTAGCTCAGATGAGCTTGGAAATCTACACCACAGACGATGTTAATATATAAAGACAATTGACAAGTGTAGACACCCTTTACAAAGATTTGTTCAAAAGCATCGGACTCGAACTTTGGTACACCTGCAATCTACTCTAAATGAGAAATACTATCATTTAAGTAATAGATTGTCATTTCTAGCACAGTGACTTGATAAAAGAATTTTCGTGTTTTCGTCCTACTACATGTAGCTTAATTTTTCCGCATACAACCTTTTTGAACTTGTTCAATTGGACCCAATCGAATGCAATTTACATATACATCGTATACATCCAGTTCTGAAAAATATACAGTGTCAATGTAGTAAAATGCAATGGACAATAAACGAATATTTATTAGAAAAGGCCCTCCCACTCCAAATGCAAGGTCTATAAACGTTAGATGTCAACAAACTTGTAAATGATACGTCTTCCCCTTATATTAGGCCATTGAAACTTAGTCATATAAACTATTTGATTACAAAATTGTTCTCTTTGATTAAAATACGTCATATTATGTTTAAGAGTTCATGTGTAAATACCCCCAGAGCCAAATCTCCTCACAACATCATAAATTTGTTTTCAAGTTGAAACCTGGTCGTTATACATGTATGCATGTCCTGTAACATGCTTCTGCACTAATAAATGAATGACCCACGGGATATTACATATCAAGACTATGAACACATTCTAAATTTATTAACTTTTGATTGGCGCTTAAAAAAAGAAACCGAAAAAGGCCCCACTGCTTTTGGATTACTCAATATATAAACCCTACAGCCTCATTATCCGGAGTATGACCGGATATTTCTAACAGCATGTCAGCATCATAATATTAGCAAGTCGTGATTAAATGATCTTTCATGGATTCTGGTACTGCGGTAAAATTTCCAGGAACGGATCAATGCAAAACACATACGCTTTCATTAATTAAAAGGGGCCACATGATAATTAAACGTGGGTTCACAGTTTAGTAACTCCTCATACACAAAATGTTTGTATTCAAAAAAAAAAAAAAAAAAAAAAAAAAAAAAAAAAAAAAAAAATTATCATAGCTCTTTAATTTACAATGCAGCATCATTTATTAAACAAACACCGTATTAAGTAGTCACGTACAACCATTATTATCAACAAAATGATTGTTATATAAATTCATCATACAAAAAAAAGGAAAAAATGCTAATAACATGTTAAAAATCAGTAACCTGTAGAATTGCACACTCGTCCATTGATCCCTTAACATCGATGTCTTTGGTGCTATAACCGAGAATTACAAAAAGCGTAAATTACAGTGTAATCTAAGATTATTATTTGTTATTTCTTTTATCTCTCTTGCATGTACATTTACATCAAAGAAATGAACCAATCACCGGGCCCGAAGGGGGGTTGGTCAGGTACATGTATATCATAAGAAGCTCAACTGGGATTCTTGCTACGGTTACTCACGTATCAGTGCATGTCCTACATGTAGTAGGCTTTATCATTGAATCTGGTTTGTTTTTGGGGGAGGGGTTGTCATTTGATCTCTTTAAATATCTCAATAAAATTGCATATTTTTGTCATTTTGCAACTTCCATTGTGATCCAGGAAGAATCTATCCTGTCACTGATTGATAAAGCATAGGTCAAAATGTTGTTAACTATATGTCTTTTAACTCTATACACTAAAAGTAAAGTTTTTTTTGGACATTGAGAAAATAATAGTTTGTAAAGGTGTAAATATTGAGCTTATCTATTACTTTTTCAACACAGGGTACCTTGCATTTACCCCAATAAAAATGTTCAAACACAATGAAGTACTGATGAACAGAAATCTCTGTTGTTTATTTTAGTGGGCAAAATGCCTGCAAATGTTTGTCTTGGCCTATTAAAATTGTATGAATGCTTGATTTTGATCACAAATTAAGTATTATACACTGTACATTTCAATTATCATATTCTAGATCGAAGGGCAGATTACTGTAAACCAACTTTTATTCGCGACGACTTTATTTCGCGATTTACCGGGGATAAACTAGTTCGCGACGATTAATTTTCGCGACCAAGCCTTTTTTATCTGTTGTTAATAGAAAGAGAGACTTTAAGGACCGGTTCACGGCGAGAAATATTCGCGATGACGAGGCTCTCGCGAACCTCGCGAAAATTTCTCGCACGCGAATAAAAGTTGGTTTACAGTACTCTATCTGCATAAAAATACCACAAAATCGGAACTCTTTAGTGTGCAGTGTATAGAGGGTTCTTAAAAGTTCAAACAGAACAATATTTGAATTAAAACTTATTAATAAGTCCAAATGAGTAGTTTTAATCGCGTAAATTATCACAGTCTGGAGAAATCGAAAGTTCTGACTTATGAATTACAGACAATGAGAAGGCAATGCAATATCTGTAACAAGTAAAGCAGATTGATTTAGATTGTGCGTCAACAATAAATACAATGGAATCTGTCATATTTTGACATCATCTTCGACCATCACAACATATGTTTCCATCTGCTCATTCAAATTTAATTTAACATTTTCTTTTGTAATGCAGGTATCAAATCCCATCACAATTTACTTCGTCATTCTCACGCCTTGTCGGTGTTCCAATTTCATGGTCCAAACCGGCTAGGGGTCATCTGTTTGTAGCACCAAACGAATATATTGACGTCATACGACGCTGCATCAACGTCCGGTTGCGTGCACAACGGCAAGTTAAAATCTTCCAGAAAGTCTTTCTGAAGTTGGCATTGCAAAGTGCGTAGCACACTGGATTGATAGTACTATTTATGTAACAAAACCAGTAAGCTGAAAAAAAGAATTAGAAATTAAAGCATTGTGAGGTAAAGTAAATTTCAATTGATGGTACATGTATAATTAAAATCCTACACATTTTCTGAAAGATTTGAAGAGAAAACACAATACGATTAACGACTGAGTTTATGATTAAATTAAAAGGGCAAGGGAATTTGTCTTCCAAAACCTGCACTTTTTTCAGAAATTTTAAAAGTAAACACATGTACACGATGATCTGTTTGATATACATATATATCAATTAATCTATTTAATTTTATTATATGATTTTGTCAATTTCTTTTTTAAAAAACAAAAACCTACTATACGGTAGCAACGAAGTGCAGAAAATTATTGCATTGTAAATCTTTATACATGTGTTTTACTGTCACAGATATCTTATAATTGTATTAATTTGTCAAATAAAAATGATCCAATCCCCAGGCTGATGAAGACTGATGTAGAACAAACTCTGATATTTAATTGTTTCCAAAAATGAAATACTTCGTAACAAAGAACTATTTGGTTTGTAGTTCAAAAATATCAATACGTTCTCAATTTTCATCTTTTGTGTTCCTTCGACTATTGACAACATGATATTGGGGACCGTGAACTGATCAAAATCCAGCTGCACACTAATTATATCACTGTCAGAAGTATTTAGATAACAAATATATTATTTGATTGATAAGAAGAAAAATAATGGTCGTATGATATCTTTATAAAGAGAAAAACTCTAATGACGTCCGCGCCATATTTGTCGTGACGCATATACATCGAACCTGATCTATATAGGTCTTATGTAAAGAATTTTATTTGTCACAGGTTACATAAGGGATAATAAGGCTTCCATTACCGGCAACTCACTGTAGCAGATTTAACGGAGATTTTCCATGTCTTTAATAAGATGTTAGCAATAATATTACCAATTTTCACATTATCAAGATCGATTTTCTGTGTAGAACATATACATGATTCCGTTCGTTGAGTTAACATTCAGTTTTATTATATGATTGATTCATTTGGTTCTTAGCTTTCTGATTGGCTGAAATCAGACATTCTAGAAATCATAAGGTTATATTAACCTGCACTCTTTTTTCAGGTAAAAGTACTTAGCATTTGATTTTTTTCTATGCTAGACCATTCAGAACTTTCAATTACTTAAGTGTCCAATGAAATCCAGCTTCCGCTAAAACTTCATCTTATTTTAATATATGACAGGTTTGCTAGACGAGTTTGCATTACTTAATCATATACATATAATAAAACAATTATTGTTTTAAGTCAATAAAATACTCCCTGGGTACCTAAATCATCGTACTCAGTAGACTGTTTCCTTTTGTTATTGTATCTCTCTCAATTTTCAAATCATGAACCCTTCCTAATATAAAATTCAGGCCCATGCTTCTTAGGATCTCAGCAACATATCTAACTTGTTCATATACGGCGAAACTTTTCACAGTATCACAAAGTTTTTAAGACACTTAAGTACTAGACTTTTATCAAGCTCCCCTCATAGCAGGAGAAGCCATGACTTTAACAAAATGGGCGTACTCTAAATAAAGATGATTGTATTTCAATTCTTTCTTATAAACTCATATTTTTAATCATATGTCTCATTAATTAATTATAAAAATATTGTGAAAAAGGATGAAATTCCATTAACGAAAAAAAAAAAAAAAAAAAAACCCCGCAACAAACACATACAAAGAGAGGCCCTTGAACCTCAAATCTCACATACATTTAATATTCCCATGAAAAATTTTGATTACATATTGTGGCACCCCTAACGCCAATGTGTCATGAAGTAACCAAAATTTAATCCACAATATTAATGTAAAAAAACATGGTCTTGCTTTTCTTTCCCGTATAAATTATGATTCCCGTTTGTAGGCCCATCCCCAAGTCATAACTTGGGGGGGGGGATCCCTTCTTTTTATTTGTAAATCCTAACCCGGAAGTCACCTTGCTGACATACATGTATGGCTTTTCAACACTGTACGCTTACAGAAATAGAATATAATTTACAATCTTTGATCCGATGTCGTATAGCGAGAGTGCATCCATAGTGAAACTTCCCCCGGAAGACTGGCTATATAGTGAGACTTCCCTCATAGTGAAACTTCCCCTGGAAGACTGGCTATATAGTGAGACTCCCCCCCCCCCCCCCCCCCCCCCCGTGAAACTTCCCTGGAAGACTTGCTATATAGTGAGACTCCCCCCGGAAGACTGGCTATATAGTGAAATTCCCCCCTCCCCCCGGAAGACTGCCTATATAGTGAGACTTCTCCCGGGGAAGTTTCACTATATAGCCAGTCTTCCCCCCTCCACAGTGAGACTTCCCCCTCAAATATAGTTTCCGGAATAATATTTTTTTTTTATTGTAAAAAATGTTTTTTTTTATACTGACGTTTTCGGCAGTGTTTGAATATAAAGTTCTCCGTCATATAAATTAATAATTAAAACATCTTAGTTATATTTTTTTTTAAATTTCAATTTCCCTATTTGTTTCATCATTCAAATGATAAAATGTATTCATGAATATTGATAAGAACAGACTCAACATATGAGGTATTTTTCAGATTTGTGAAAATCAGCATTATGTAAACGACACACGGTCATACTATCTAGTAAATCAAACTTTTAAATTAGTAAATAAAATTAAATTTGCATGGTATGCACAAGTTAAACATACAGTAATACTGAATATACGTGGCATCCCTATAATACAAATTATGTTCGCGCGACATCTAAAATTGACGATTATGCATAGCTAAGTAAGTGTTATATCTTAGTAAACCTAAACTACATGTATTTATTTTTCAAGTATACTTTTAGCAAGTTTTGCGTATTTATAATTTAAAATTCACTATTTCCTAAATTTATAAAATATCAACGGATATTGTACTGCTAATCTATATGAGATATATGCCGCATACATACGTTATGTAAAAAATGTTAACAGGCCCGTAGGAAGCAATTTCAGTTTGGCGGGGGGGGGGGGGGGGGGCACAGCCATATATTTTTCAGTTGACAATTGAGGGGGCACTACCAAAAATTTCCTGACAAGCAAAAAAAAAAAAAAAAAAAAAAAAAGTCATCAGACCTTTTTATTGAGGGGGCACAAGCATATAGTATCTATGTTTACTTTAGTATTCTATATATCGGCAAAATTATTGGGGGGAGGGCACGGGGGCCGTGTCCCCGGTTCCTACGGTCATGAATGTAAGACGGGGCCTAAAAATGTTTTACATATATCTGTATTTAGCATGCATCGTTCTTAAAACATTGCCATTTCATTTTAGCGCTGAATTAATTTATACAAGAAAGTCAGATTTTGAAGGATAATAGTACTGAAACAGTTTAAACTGATTCTTTCATGATATTAATCTCATAAATGTCGGGCTTCCAGAGGTAAATAAAGAATTCTGTAAATAATTTATATAATACGGTTCCTAATGCAAATACAAATACATCGTCGATGTAAATAAAATCCTCACTACGGTCGTTTAGGGGGGAAGGCTCACTATATACATGTACGTAGTCATCCCCCCCCCCAGTATATAGCCAGGCTTCCGGGGGGGGGGGGGGTTGCTCACTAGACGATGACACCGGTTTACCTTTTCGAGAACATGAAAATTTATTTAAAACTAGTCTTGTTAATAAAACTGTTTATTCCTTGTTTTAAAAATGTTGAAAATTAAAAGGTTTGTACATTTTGTACTTGCTATTAATGCTTATCAAAATTGCACTACTTCTTATCTGTAAGTCACATTGCTGACATACTAGTATGGCTTTTCAATATACTTGCAAAACTTCCATGATTCCACGATAGGGCTGTAAATATCTATAAATTTTGAAAGAAGTGAGAAGAAAACAATAAATATTATTTAAGTGAAAATAATGTTTTATTGTTATCATAGGAAATACACATGTAAGAAGGTTGTCATCATTGTAGGAAATTTTCATTGACTCGCTTAAGCGTGTCATTTAATTTTTCTACACCATGCTGGTGACCGATATACCATTATGATGAAAATAAGAATACACTACATTGTTAAAACGACTAGCCATAACCAAATGTTCTTTCAAGACTCTCCCCTATATACCAATGTAACCCCTATATACCAATGTAAAAATATATCTTCTATTATGGCCCAGATAACGAACTCATACTTTGAACAAATTTGAATCTTTATAGCATATTATTATGACTTTAAACGAGGTTGTTAAAATGCCGGTAACATCAACTTATCTGTCAGTAGCCTGTCGTCTGAAGTTTCTCCTTTACAGCAATTAATATTTTTGTAAAGGGCAAAATAGGGGATTGGTAGAGCATTTGCTTGATCTGGCAATGTATCTTTGTTTGCAAGGAATTTTATGAAGTTTAGGAATCCAGATAGGTAGGGAAGATCGAACGCACCTTCGTTGACTGGAGTGTTAAAAGTATCATGTTAAACACTGATATTTGATTTTGAAGAATTTCGTCGTTAGAAAGTTAACTGCGAGTATAAGTTGGTTTTCCAGGCGTAGAATTAAAACCAAGTTCTTCTACAGTACATTTAAAATAATGAAACTTGCAACAAAGACGAAATTGTTATTACAAGCCTTGTCGGCTGGAACCATAAGGGATTGTTCATGTAGTCTCACTAAGTCTTCTATCAGTGAAAACGGAAGGATACTAGAAAACGGAAGGATAATAGCAAACTTAACGTCTGTATCGGAGTGGAATTTTCCTGTTTTGGATAAACTAGAGATGGAGGTGTAACATTGTAACAATGCATTTTTTCAGAATATTAAATGATTACATGTACTGACAATTTTCATCCCAAACAAATAAAACTTCAAGCAAAACTTTGATTCCGTAATATTGCTTTATTATCAATGACTAACATGGCCTTAATTGCTATTCTGGAGAAGTTTTTAAAGGCTTTTTTTCAGTATAAAAGCATAAAGTTTGTTTCGAGAAATGAATTTAATATTTGAGAATTCATGAGGATATGAACTTCGACGCT